GTGTGGTAATATTGGATAACTATAATCATAATTCATGGCTGGGCAGAGAATCATTCTAGCTATATATGAAGATATAACCAGATTGTGGTAATTTAGGTGGAACATACATTTTTAAAAAATAAAGATTTTATTTAATCTTTTTTTTTTCAGTGTCACATGATCTTCAGAAATCATTCTAATATGTTGATTTGCTGCTTGAGAGACATTTCTGATTATCATCAGTGTTGAAATATTTGTGTGGAAACTGATGCATTGTATTTTTCAGGATTCACAGATGAACAGAAAGTTCAGAAGAACAGCATTTATTTGAAATAGAAATCTTTTCTAACATTCGAAATGTCTTTACTGTCACTTTTAATCAGTTTAATGCATCACATATGAATAAAAATGTTTTCAACATAAATAAATCAGTTTTCAACATTGCTAATAATCAGAAATGTTTCTAATAATCAGCATATTATACTGATTTCTGAAGATCATGTGACACTGAAGACTGGAGGAATGATGCTGAAAATACAGCTGCGCATCACAGAAATATATTACAGTTTAACAGATATTCACACAGAAAACAGCTGCTTTACATTATAATAATATTTCACATTTTTTACAGTATTTGTGATCAAATAAATGCAGCCTCGGTGAGCAGAACAGACTTCTTTCATTACATTGTTTTTTTTTTTAAATCACCAAATCATGTGAGGTTGGCATAAAAACCAAAAGCATCTACAAGCACCTTTGTATTATTATGAATAACTGTGTAAAACTTTAGATTTAAATAAAGATTTTCTTAATGTAGTTTTGATTGAGAGAGAGATCTGTTAATGAGGTTATTCTACCTGTCATACAAATGTGTGACGCATAAATGTTTTTAATTAAAAATAATGAAAGCAGCTCTGCTTGGAAGCCGATGTTTATTGTCAATCATCAAGCCAGTGATGGAGATGTGAGGCCAAACTCCATGGAGAAATTAAGCCTGAGCGCCTGCTCGTCACCAGATGAAGGACACCAAAGCTCTAAGGCATCAATTACTCCGTTCTCCTCCTTAAGCTCCAATTAAGCAGGATGCAGTGATATGACAGAAACTGTGATCCGCTGGAGCAGAAGCGGCTCCAGATCTGCTGCAGAACGCATCGGTCGAGCCATGGAGGGCTTTTACGTGGACCTTCTGGCTCTGAGGATCGTCGTCTCCGTCATCGGCGTTGTAGGAAACACGGTCCTGATTGTCTCGCTCCTACAGACGCCTCGCCTGAAGTCCTTCGAGATCTTTCTCCTCGGGCTGGCCGCAGCGAATCTGGAGGAGATTGTGATCGTGGACGTCTACGACATCTTGCTGTTGCGCTCCTCTCGCAGGATAAGCGTCTGGAGCTGCAGTGGCCTGAAGTTCCTCACCATCCTCGGGGAGATCTCCAGCATCCTCTTCACGGTTCTCATCAGCATCTACCGCTATCAGAAGCTGCGGGACGTGCACACGCGGGTCAGCCGGCCCGTCTTCATGGACAGTCTGCGTTCGGCCGTGCTTCTCTCTGTCTTCTGCGGCGCAGTGGCTCTGGTCTTCAGTTTGCCCACGCTTCTCATTAACCTGGACTGGAGTCACCAGAACTCCTCGTCTCAGGGCTGTCCGGTCGATTTCTTCCAGTGCTCGTTAACCAGGTGCCCGACTCGCAACCGCGTTTACAAGTACTCCTTCCTTCTGGTGTGCAACCTGTTGCCTCTGCTGATAGTCACAGTAACGAGCAGCATGATCGTCAGGATCTTAATAACTCAGCAGAAGACGGTGAGGGCCCGACAGGCATCGCTGACGTCCCAGCAGCGGCCCAGGAGATCAGGCTTCCAGCGCAGCACGCAGGCCATCCTTGCGGCCATGACTCTGTTCCAGCTCAACTGGACCGTCTATCTGATCCTGCATCTGCTGTGGGACCCGCACTCCTTCACACTGTGGTCAGAGCTGGAGTTCTTCATCACCACGTTTTACACCGCAGTCAGCCCGTATGTCTATGGAATAGGCAACAACCTGTTCAGCACGAAGCGCTGCACGAGCTGAAAGCTTCTGATTAGATTGTGGTTTGAGAACTGTGACCTTTGCATACAAAACAATAACATAAAAGGTTCAAATAAAGCCGTAACAATCTGATTTAAAAATCTGGTCGCACTTTACTTAAAGCCTTGTGATGCAGCTTCTACAGTTGATACATTGTAACACTTATCAAGTCATTGTTACATTATGCATTTAATATTCGGTTATACTTATTTACGACAAGATATAATGTATTACAACGCACATTATGAATAATTATAATGCATTATTCCCTTTAACAACCCTTTATAATGCATTATACTTAATAAGTGTTACCAAAAATCCTTTACTCTTAGTTTAATACAAAATATCCAAATTAAAGTTCTCTAACATTTAAATAATATAATTTATTTTATGTTTTGTTATTGTAGTACATTGAGATATTATTATCATTCTTTGTTAAGGTTTTGAATTCGATTTTTATATTTGTTATAGTTGTTTTAGTCATTTTGTATAAGTATATATATACTAGTTAATATATAAACATATTTTTCTGAAATATATACATGCATGTGTGTGTATTTATATGTACATAATAAATATATACAGTGCACACATATATTATGCAAACAAAAACTTCACGATTAATCGTTTGACAGCACTAATATATATATACTATATGATTAATTTTTAGGTTATATAATTTTATACTTAATTTTTATGCTTAATTTGAGTTATTTTAGTGCATCAAGGTAATAAATGAAAATGGAATGTTGACTTGTAAACTAGCTTTAATAAAATAAATAATAATAATAATAAAATTCTTTATTTTAGTTAACATTTATTTTAGTTCAAGTATTTTTTAGGTTTAGTAAACTAGAATAACCCTGATATGCACATTTACACACACACACACATGCAAAGAACGGTACATAATCAGGACTTTATCAGATGTCCCATAGCTGTTAAATATCATTGTTTTCCTTCTCATTCAGCATATTATGAACGGTTATTAATCCAGTTAATATGATCCAGATACTTGATTTACACTGGGAAAAAATGCATGGTAACCTGCGATCGTCAGCTTAAAGAGCAAAGTATCTGATTTAACTCATAAATAAGAGTTCTGTAGGTATAAATGAATGTGTTTTAGGTTGATTCGGTGATGCCAAATAATAATTAGATTGGAAAAAATCCAGTTAATTTAGATGATACCTTTTTTATTTTAGTGTACATGAGATCCAATTAGAGATTTGCTACTGTTCATTATTAATTCATGTTCATTTATACAGCTTAAGATGGTCACATTGCAAAAAAAATATGAATTATCGTGCAATATAATTTCTTGTTTTGATCTTCCCGCACCTGAGTGCTAATAAACACTGATTTCTGTGTGTTGTGATGTATTCTCACGACTCTATAAATGTGGACAGTCTGTAAGCAGTATCACTCTCATAGTTCACAGCATAATAACTCACCCATCGCATCATTTATTGCCCTTGTGTCTTTCATATGCTTCATATTTAATCATTAAACCAATGCAATCGAAACATTTGTTAACGTGTGATCTGAATATTCTGCTTCGGCATCACTTTTATTCATGGATAAAGTGTTTTACTTCTAAAATATAACTGAATTGACTCAGAGGTGTGAAGTGAAGCAGGATTTAGCTGTGACCGTGTGCACTAAACAACAGCTTTCAGTCGCAGTCTCTTGCTTCTGTTCTAGTGTTGAATGCGTCGGTCATATAGAAAGATGTTTCTGACTCGGTGACCAAAGTGGCTAGTCTTCTGTGAGTGCAGCTCTGCTCTCAGACTGAAAGTGAAAGTGAGCGGTGATTTTCTGGCAGTCATATCTGGAGATGTGTGTGACCTTAAACAATCAGCACATCTCAGTCATCTGAGCAGTTTCACCAGCACACTTCAGCTTCAGTCTTCTCAGCAGTTACTGCTCTGATCATTTACTCAGACCTCATGTCATGCGACATGCTCTTTCTGTCTTCAGTCGCAAAGAAATGAAGGTTTGTGAGGAAAACGTTCCAGGATTGTTCTCCATATAATGGACTTCAATGTACGGGCATCATGGAAACGATTCATTGTATCACTTTGCAAACATCATAGGAATGCTACTTTTGAAATGTTCTCTGAACATTCTGAAACAAGTGACAAACCGTCCAACTGAAACATTTCAGAACAAAGCTTCACGAACAACTTGTAATGCTTTTTTGTGCATCAGATAACTTTAAACATTCTGTTAACGTTACTAGAAGAACATGACTTTGAGAGAACATTGCCAGAACGCTCTGAGAACCCGGAGAACCCAGATGAGGCTGGACTGTAAGAGATCCAGAACGTACACACTTACTATTCAGCTGTTCTCCAAAGTGACGTACAGATGAGGAACATTAGATATTTGTATTAATACTGTATGTTGTGCACCGCCAGTAAAACACATACACACGTCTAATATAGCCTACTGTGTGTACATGCATTACATATATGACATGTATGGCCATATTACGTAAAAATATAATGTATGAAACCTAAATTGGAACAATGTGCAATATACAGTGTACATACAGTACTGTGCATAAGTCTTATATATATAAACATACTTATTTTTAAATATAAAGTTGCATATATGATTGCTACATATAATATCATAAAAAAATAACTTTTCTCATGAGCGTTTAAACTCAGAGAATGAACATTATATATGGCCTTATAGGCAAATATATGGCAATATCGTGTTTGATATTTAAGGCAATATATGTGCGTTTGGGGAGCAGCAGCATGTTCACATGTTCTGTAAGAGCACAACCCGAGTATATGCTTGTTATCTAATGCAGTGCCACGCACAGGTGTCTACACGCGCTCAGACACTTCAGACAGACTCAGCGATGCTCTTCAGAGTGTTTAGGATTAATACCGCGCTCTCGCGCTGCAGATCCCTCCGCACACTCGTGCTCTCCTGATTGGAGGAGGATCAGCATGTGTGTGTGTTATTGGTTCGCATGAAGCAGGAAGAGAAGCAGCAGCAGCAGACGAGCAGCTCTGGACGAACACCCCGCGGGACCTCCGTGCGTTTACTGGTGAGTGCTCGCGCTGCTGCACGCGAAGAAACACGCGGCGCGTCGCGTCTCTCGCGTTCAGTCGCGCTGCGTGCTTCGCGGACGCGTTTGATCCTCGCACGCAAATCAAGGGCGCTTTAAATCGCGAGCACTGTGTAACTATATTGTGACGCCACCGACGCTGTTGTTGAGGAAGGGCGTTATGTCTGCTGGAGGATGACGTCAGGCCTCTCGTGTTCTAATAAAACAACAAACACCGCGACGACGTCACGAGCGGCGTGACGTCACGACCGTAGGAGCTCGCGGCAGCTTCGGTCTCCGATCACCAAACGTTACTCACCACACTGCGGGCCAGTTAAAGCTTGGAGATCTGGTGCAACTGAAAGGTTGTAGGTTCGAATCCTGCGTGAGTCGCTCGAGGACGCAGTTTTGTTGTTTCATGGAATTCAGATTCTTGCTGAATTCTAAGCTTAATAGTAAAATAGTGAGAGCTATTCCAGATTCAGCATGTGTGATTAATCACTCACAAACACAAATGCTGCTCGCAGGCGCTCTTTGCTTCCTCCAGCAGAAGTCAATGGGAGTGGACACAAAACATCATAACTCTAATGGTGCGCTCGTGTTGGAAAGACTGTATTTACCAGTTAAACACACATGAACGCCACAACAAACCTTCTCCAGATAATGGACTTCAATGCGGAGCGACGGGCTCCTGTGGAGCTCTTTGAAGCTGCACTGAAACTGATCTTCAGTCCGTTGCTCCTCATTGAAGTCCACTATATGGAGAACAATCCTGGAACGCTTTCCTCAAAATCCTTCATTTCTTTGCGACTGAAGACAGAAAGAGCATCTCGGATGACATGAGGGCTGAGTAAATGATCAGGAAGTTTTCATTCTGGAAGTGAACTAATGCTTTAAGCTTTATTTTTTCTTACTTTTTTGTGAAAAGCGCTAAACAAGTAAAGTTGGATTTAATCGAGTTTCCAAATTAGGTCCGAAAACATGGTGGACCGTGGATGCAACACCTGTATTGATAGTAAATTTGTTAAACTGAATTCAATTGATTATTTTACAGTAAAACGAACTTTAGTTGCATGTGCAGAATTCCGTAGTATTGCACGACTACAGTAGAATGTGCAACGATTCGATTTACAGCACCGTCATAAGTTGAATAAAAGTGTAAAAAGGGAAAACACACCGCATGCACATTTCATAAAAGTTAAAAAATCTTGCAGATGTTTTTGTAGAAATGGTGCATTGCATTCTTGCTCTGACCAAAGTGACCTGAATGCACCTGACAGCTTGAGCAGACTTGACGCTCTGTATATCCCCAGTCTGAGTGTGATGCACAGACTGAAATTCAGTTATCACTGATCTCCGCTGAAGCTCTGAAAACTTATTCAGTCTAGCTGCGTGTATGAAATAGAGACAACCAGTCAAGTCCAGCACTAAAAAGAGGACACAAGTTCTCAGTTAAAGTCAGTTCGTCGTTGATTCAGTGACGTTATCGTCCAGCTCGGTTCATCGTACATCTCTCTTGTGTTTCCACTGAGAAAATGATAGTAAACAAGTGTGGAGTCACACGGGAGTCAGTATTTGATGACAGAATTTACGTCATTTTTCAGGGTAAACGGTTCTTTAAATGTGGCATTGTTTTAGCGCAAATAGCTGCAGTAATATAATGTGAGGATTTATTGCACATATTGTTCAGTCCACAGAAAACGATATGCAGCACCTGTATTGATAGTAAATTTGTTAAACTGAATTCAATTGATTATTTTACAGTAAAACGAACTTTAGTTGCATGTGCAGAATTCCGTAGTATTGCACGACTACAGTAGAATGTGCAACGATTCGATTTACAGCACCGTCATAAGTTGAATAAAAGTGTAAAAAGGGAAAACACACCGCATGCACATTTCATAAAAGTTAAAAAATCTTGCAGATGTTTTTGTAGAAATGGTGCATTGCATTCTTGCTCTGACCAAAGTGACCTGAATGCACCTGACAGCTTGAGCAGACTTGACGCTCTGTATATCCCCAGTCTGAGTGTGATGCACAGACTGAAATTCAGTTATCACTGATGATCTCCGCTATAGCTCTGAAACCTTATTCAGTCTAGCTGCGTGTATGAAATAGAGACAACCAGTCAAGTCCAGCACTAAAAAGAGGACACAAGTTCTCAGTTAAAGTCAGTTCGTCGTTGATTCAGGGATGTTATCGTCCAGCTCGGTTCATCGTACATCTCTCTTGTGTTTCCACTGAGAAAATGATAGTAAACAAGTTTGGAGTCACACGGGAGTCAGTATTTGATGACAGAATTTACGTGATTTTTCAGGGTAAACGGTTCTTTAAATGTGGCATTGTTTTAGCGCAAATAGCTGCAGTAATATAATGTGAGGATTTATTGCACATATTGTTCAGTCCACAGAAAACGATGTTTGAATGTAATCTGTTTCTGCAGGTTTTAAAAAGTCTTATTCGCCCTTCCACAAATTAAGGACTAAAAAGGTCTTAAATCGGAGCAGAAAAGTCGTGACATTAAATGTTGCAGTGAGTCTTGTTTTCCAGTATAAATATCTAAACATCTTTAAATCAAGACACATTTACTGGAGATGCACAAAGAAGATATGAAGTTTTGCTTTCTGAGAAATTGAACAAAATGACGCGAGTTTATGCTTAAAACAAACAAATATCGGCTAATGGGGTCAGAAAATAAACTTGTTTCCCCTTGATTTTTCTGAGGCCGTTGGCAGATATGTGTTCTTGTTTTAATCATAAACTCACTTAATATTTGATCTGTTTCTTGCGCATCTCCTGTAAATGTATCTTAATTTAAGGATGTTTAGATGTTTGAAGAACAGCACTTTTTTTGCAGTTTGATCAGAAGGTACAGTAAAAGTAGAGGTGTTCAAGCTAGAAATATTACTTTATAACTTTCAAGTGTTACTAATACAAAACAATTTAGATTGTTTTCCATTCAGTTAAATAAATATTCTTTCCATGGTCTTAAATTTACTTTCTTAAAACCTGCAGAAACCCTGTTCTTACTAAAAGCAGTGATTCCTCTCGTGTTCATGTTTTTTTTTTTTATATTAACTTGAGATCCTCTTTATCCCGTAGCTCTTCTCAGGAAGCATGTCATGACCCATGCTCGGAAAAACGCTTCCATTGGCCAGTATCGTGTCGAGGGGCGGGGCCACGTAGAGCGCTGGTCACATGGTGAAACTGTGGGCGGAGCCTGGCCTGTGCATTCATTGCGAGAAGGCAAGGCCAAGAAAGACATGGCGAAGAAAGTCAAGACCAACGGTCGGGAGAGTCAGTGTTTGGCAAAACATTCAATGAAAATGAATGAAACTAAGACCAAGAAAGGAAAGTGCAATACTACAAGTGAGCGCCATCGGAAGCTCTACCCGTTACGAGGAAGAAGCGAGGCCAAGAGTTGCCACGTTCTGCTCACTCGCCTTGATGATGAGACCAAGGTGTGCGAGGTGGATCCCGATAGAGTTTCAGGGCACAAAAAGAAACCAAAACCCTACAAGAAAGCAGAAAACAGCAGGGAGTCCTTGCAGGAGCGTCTCAAAACCAAACCGGAGGCCACCATTGATAAACCTTCAGCTCAGGAGCCACGGAAACGTAGACTAGCCTCGCTCAACGCCGAGGCGCTCAACAGTCTTCTGCTCGAGAAAACCGACGGGCCGCCAGGTGCAAAACTCGCTAGGAAACAAGGCGGTGGTTCGTCCACTACAGAGCAAACAAAGACCGGCTCGAAAAGAGCCGTAAAGACGTGCCAAAAGCCCAAGCGGATGAAAAAGGCCTTGACCGATAAGACGCCTGACGCTTTGAGTTTGTACGCTCCCACTCCCAGACGCTTGGCTGGACTCAACGCCGCTGCGCTGCTGAAGCTCACCAGCTCAACCGCCGCAAACAAGCACAGGATCAAAACGGACCGCAAGACCGTCTGCAAACCCCAAGCGCAGAAGTCCGGGAAACACAGCTGGACGCAGCCTGAACTGGAAGGAGCCTGCGAAGTGTGCAAAAGCAGGAGCTTCGAGTCAAAGCCAACTCCGGAAAGCCACCGCTTGGCTGAAGCAGGATACCAGAGCATGCTGGGATATCGTCCCGTGAAGCTAGTAAAGGAGGAGCCGGTGGAAGCAGAGCTGAGTCCGTACTTCTGTTGTCCGCCGGAAGGTTCGGTGGGGTATTGCCACCGGCTGGCGCTCTTCCTCGGGCGGCAGGCGTACGGCGAGGGCGAGGAGCAGCCGGTGGTCAAGCACGAGTGCCTGGTTCCGGCGCATCCGGCCCTGACGCTCAGCGCCCATCCCTGCCTGTGTGTGGATCCCTGCTGCTCCAGCTACTACGTCCACATCGCTCATCCGGGGACGGCGAGTCTGAGCGCTCGGATGCTGCCCTGCACGCACTCCGGGTCCCAGCTGCTGGCCTCCTCGGGTGTCCCACACCCTGCCTTCTGCGGTTCAGTCGGGTCGCCCTGCTGCGCCAAGGCCTGTCGGGTCAGCGGATACGCCTTCAGTGCCGTGCAGAGCAGGACCTGCTCGTTTTCCACCAACTGCTCCAGCTGCAGCCATCCAATCAAAACAGGTGAGGATGATGACTCTTCCATGGTATCGCTGCACGATATCACCAGTGTAACGTTACAATACGTGCTTGAGCTAGTGATTTGTGCTGCAGCAAAAGTAAGTTATTCTGCAACAAAGTTCGAGAGAATTGCACGATCCAAATTGTCCTAAACATAAGACGTAACCGCTTTAAACTAGCCTAATGGTGCACTCAAGTCATGTCGGAAAGATCGTAATTACTAGTTGAACGCCACAGTAAAGTTATAATTACGAGTGGGAAACTGAACTTTTTTTTAAGCCTCGAGTTTCTGAGTTGAAGGGAATCAGCGATGGTAATTTGGTGAAATTAATGATTGTTTTAATATACAGTAAACCTAAGTTGCATGCACAGAATGCCATTGAATACCAGAATATGTAGCAATTCAATTTACAGAACCTAAACAGAAACAAAAAAAGCTAAAACACACAGGATTGGCATTCTTTATTCGGAGTGTCTATTTACATTAAGTGCCCCCACCAACATCTGATTGGGACGTTCTTCAACCATCAGCTTCAGTGGCGTAGATGGTAAAGCGCGTGCATTTTGATGCGATCGACCCGAGTTCGAATCCGCCTTTTGCCGAACCTTTTTTCTCCCTTTTCAAATCTCATATCGCATCGGAAAGGCATTTATTTTCAATAAAAATGTAGGAAATAATCAAAAAGTTGAAAATAAAATATTGGGTAGGGATAGGGTAGGTGCTTTATTAGTTTCCATTTTGCATGAAGGCTCATCCTGACAGCATGCAATTCTGACTAAAATGTGCATTGTTTTGCATAAAAAAAAACGGACTTTTAATTTAAAGACAGAACCGCAGTTTACTTTCATTTTTCAAAACTTGACTTTAAAATTGAGATGCATGTTTTTAGTACTCATGGAACTGTTTGATTGTGCCGTTTTAGAAGAGGAGCACAGTCGCACGCTCCTCGTTCCCCCGGACCTGCCGCGCTCCGGATGTCCCGGCATGCCCCGAGTGACCCCGCGCCTTCTGTCCACGACGTCCGAGGCAGAGGTCAGGCTTAAGGTGGGCAAAGAATGCCCTCAGAACACCAAGCCATCCAACGGCTCGCTCACTATGGGCCACAGCAGATCATCCCTGAAACACCCCACAGCAAGTGCCAAGCATCAGAAGAAGGCGAGCCACCGACAAGCCACGAACGGTTGGCGTCCGGTCGGAGTCCCCACGGAGAAGGAGGTGTTTATTGCGGTGAGCGATTAAAGGACTGGTGAATGGTTGAGCAGGTCAGATCTGTGAGTTTGACCTGTCATGGCTGTGCTTCTGCAGGGCGATGACGAGACGGTTCTCCGTCAGAGTTATGAAGGAGTGGAGCGCGACGGAGAGGTGATCAGGGTACGAGACACTGTGCTCGTACGATCCGGACCCCGCAAGAAATCCCTGCCATACGTGGCCAAGATCTCAGCTCTGTGGGAAGACCCCAGAACAGGTTATCATTTAGCACCTCGCAGATCATGTGCAGGGAATAAAAACGGCACTGTGTCAGACGACTCATAGCTAGTGATGTGAAGTCTGATTCTTTTCATGCCAACTGGTTCTTTCAGACAGTTCGTTTCACCAGTTTAGCAGTTCAATCACGTGAGTGCAAATGTCTATGCGACTCAGGATGAGTGTCTTGTGTTCATTACCAGCTTCACTGCAGCTCTGCTTGATGTTTAACCTGTTGGTGGTGTTTGTGTGAATGCACGCGAGATCTTCATGCTGCTTATCAGTCGTTTTTGAGTGAATCCGGAGCCGTTTTGTGGCTTTTTTGTTTACTCAATTAATGTTTGCACTACAGGATTCATTTTTGTTGTATTAACAGAAACTAGACAGCGGATTCATAGTTTCCGGCATGACACCTGAAGTGTTATATTATGTAACATTCAGTTCTTCAACTAAACATTATTTGCTGCAGTTTTGTAGGAGCTTTAATTGTCTCTGCTCATTCATCACATGATCTGACCGGTTCTGTTTCAGGAGAGCTGATGATGAGTCTGTTTTGGTACTATCGGCCTGAGCACACGCAGGGCGGCAGAGATCCCAGCATGCACTGCGAGGTGAGCCGCTGCTGTTATTATGCTGGGTTAGTGATCTGAACACACTTCAGTCCTGCAGCAGTGTTACTTTTAAATGTTATGCATTACAGAATTGCGTTACTCCCTAAAATAGTAACTAATTGCATTACTTGGTTACTTTTTATAGAATGTATTGCGTTACATTACTTTTGCGTTACGTTTTCTCATCTGGCCTGGGCTTGCTTGTTTGTTTTTAATATAAAAAGTTCTATTTTTGGCAAATGTAAAAGCCCTTTCACACCAAAAGTGAAAGGTAGTGAATTTAGTCTTTTAAATTAGTCTTAGTCCTGTGTCAGATGTAAGTTTTAGTTGTTATCATATTTAGTCAAGCTTGTCCTGCTTGTGTTTAGTCAAGATTTAGTCGACTAAATGTCTGAGCATTTTAGTCAATGAAAAATTTTCGTCACATTTTCATTATGCTGTATAATAGTTAAACTGATAAATAATTATGTTTGCTCAAAATTACAATCGTAATGATTGTTGTCATTTGAGAAATTTATTTTTCCATTTCAGGAATTGCATCTTTCACCAATAAGCACAAAGATGTGTCCTTTTAACAAAGAACTCTTGATATCTGGCAACCGCACACATGAAAGCTCATGCAGTAGAGGCGTGAGCAGCAATTTTCATTTTTTCGGCGAAAATTTAAATACATTTTTTAATTAATTTTAGTCGTCTTTTATCATCAACAGTATTGCATGTGGATCTAGTCAGTTATCGCTTATTGACCTTATTGTCGCCTCGTCGTCGTCTCCTTTTAGTCATTGGGGAAAAAAGCTAATCAACAAACATTTTTCGTCACAGTTTTCGTTAACGAAATTAGCACTAGCCTCAGGCTGAAGGAAATGTAAATTCCCGTCTGTACAGTAGAGGGCGCCGCTCAAACAAAGCTCTCAGCTGTGCTGCCGTTCTGGATTACACGAAGAAGAGAACGCAGGAGAAGAAAGTTCAACACTCTTCAGCAATAAAAAGAATGAAACACAAATGTTTACCTAAAGTAATTTTTGCTTATTAGTATGTTTGAATTGGAACATCAAAGTTCACTGGTTAATAAAATGGGATTAAATGCAGTATTGCAGGTTTGCATCATATTCTAAGTTTGCATTTCACTGTTTTTCTTCATGTTGAGGAATACTGAACGAGTAAATGCATGTTGACATTTAGTCCAGAAATGCAGTGTCCTCATGTTCACACGACGCTTCTTGATTCCTCTCAACATGGCAGCCGGAGAGCTGTTAGTCAATACATGCAAAAATACATTTGAAAAAGTAACTTGGTTCTTTTCTTGTAAATAAAAAGAGATGCATTACTTTACTAGTTAATTGGAAAAAGTAATCTGATGACGTAACTTGTAATGCATTACCCCCCCCACACACTGGCAGTGGGTTAGTCCCGGGTGACTTTCAGGAGTAAACACACGTCACGTGTCTTCTTTCAGAACGAGATCTTCGCCTCCCGTCATCAGGATGAGAACAGCGTGGCCTGCATCGAGGAGCGATGCTACGTTCTGCCGCTAGCACAGTACTGTAGGTAAGCGCTGTGCCGCCGCTCAGATGCGTTCCTTACGCACATGTCTCATAATCGCATGTGATGTTGCAGATTTTGTGCCTTGGTGAAGCGCCGCTCGGAGGGCATGTCCGACCATGCCCCGCTGGTGCCACGCCCCTCCGACAGCACTGGCCCCGCCCCCCACCCGGTGCCCCGCTCCTCCGACAGCACTGGCCCTGCCTACCG